TACATAATTTTATATTTACATTTAGCCATCAAGTTTCAAACTTTTCAAATCTTCTAGAAAATAAATTTTGGCAGATCTCTTTTAGCAATTTTCTTAAAATCTATATTTTTGTAGTGCAACAGCTTAGAATTTTATAAAACAAATTCATAATCAAAATCGCTGTTGTTAGTTATCGAAAAATAACCAAGATGTGATTTTTGCGTAAATGTCAGTAAACTAATCAAATTGCTATTATCCATTACATTATGAATGTTTCTTTCATGCGAGAGTGTCCCTTTTTCGATTTCTATGAACTGTCGTGTGTCGAAATACTATCAGAATCTTGTCAAGCGAGCTTCTGAATGTAAACAAAGAACACCCCGTCTGGTGACCCAAGCTTCAAAGCAGTGCTTCACTTCCAGCGCGGAATGGCCCCTCCTCCCTTTACTACCTCCATGCACGTTACACATGGGGAAAACCACGAAAACACCCATGCAGCCAGCCCGTTCGCGGGATTCGAACCTCGGACCAGTGTTCAGTGACTTTACCGCTCGGCCGCTGGTGGGCTCAAGAAAGCTCACGAAATCTATCTCTCTTTCAGGCTTTTAACCCTTTTGTGTGCTTTGCCATAATCGATTTCATATCTTGTAAAACTACAAAGAATTTTTGATTAACAAACTCAAGGATTTCAAAGCGAGCAATGGCAACGTTGTACAGAAAAATCATTTTTATCTCCAGTGCGCGATACTATGTATCGGAAATTCTAAAGATATGTTCATTTTGAAATTTATTTTGCGATATTGCTCTTGAACTGAATTTTATGGTTTAAATGCGACGAACATGATATTTAATAAATAAAGGTAATACACGAAATGTTAAAAAAACGTCCTTTAGGACGTAATTTAAAATCTGAAACCTTTCAGATTTTCTTTTTCCCTTTTTTTAAAGTTTTATTTAGATTTAACACTATTTGAACAGTAAGACAATAAAATTAAAAGCTTTATTCTGAAAAAAAGGTTTCTGTTAAATCTTCAGTAATATACCATGTCTATCCATTTAAATGTCCTTTCACACGAACCATTCTGAATGATTCCGATGAATTCCGATTCCGATGTATCCAGAATAATAAAAACAAAGAGTATACTTTAATACACAAGGATAAATTTTTATTAATGAAACGTTCTTAACATTAAACACAAGATGCGTAACTTTGAAACAGGGGAATGAAAATCGGCTTTTTTTTTTGGAGGATGCAGCCTATTTTATGACAAAGATAAAAAAATGCAAACCGTTTGTTTTTAATTAATCTAAATTCTGAGATGTTTGCGAGCCAAAATTATTTAAAAGTAATAAAAAGTGTATCTTTGTGTTTTTAGTCTGCCAAGGAAGTTGAAGTAAAGACCCTTTACACGCGCTGTCAAATATTTATCGAAAACTGAAGTTTTTTTTTTTTTTTTCCTTTTAAAAATTTCTTTGGGCCCTTTAAGTGTTCTTGAAGCCCTCTTTTCAATTTGAAGTGCACTTTTAAAAGCTGCTAAGTGATTCTCATCCGTTTACCTCTTCTTAAACATTTTGTATTTTGCTCGACCCAAACACGATTATTTAAAAATCACTACTATCTAAATGGAGGCTGGGATATTTTTATCTTCACATCTTTGTAATGATGTGCCTTGTGCAAACTTTCAAGCTCCAAGAATCGATTTCCTACTTGCAAACACAGAAGATCAGAAACTTCTTTCAAAGCACCTTGAAAATCACTGAATACTTTTTCGCTGCTGCGCTTTGTTAAACAACTCTTCGCATTGGCTTTGCTAAATTCGTTCAATGAATTGTAATCTTTCATCTATCTACACGCTTTAAAAACATACAATAGATTTTGTAAGGAAAAAATCTGATGTGTACACCACATGATTTCCTCGTACGGAATATTAAATTATACGCATATTTTCTTGCATTTCATTTAAACTTATTGGATTAAATGGTTAAAATTCCATAATCGGGGTGAGCGCCAAGCCTGGCGAGAGTTTTTTATTTGGCGCGATTTTGATTTGGTTGTGGTTTCCGGCTGTATGTTTTCTTATGGCAAACCTAGAGCTTTATTTCGGTAACTGTATGAGCGAGAATTTTAGTGTAGCCAAAGATTTTTTTAAAATTTAATTTGAAATACTGTGTTTGTTTTTAAAAGTTTTACTGTTAAATATATTGTTATATATATGGTTAATATTATATTTATATAAATATTTGCAGAAGGTTACGTTGTGTAGGTGGGAGATGTGGGATTTCATATGACGTGAGTTTATAATTTATGAAGTTTTCATTTAATTAGTTTTTTTTTTTTTTTTTTTTTTTTTTTTTAGTATTGTTTTCTTGCATGTGGCAATCAAAAGATGTGGAATATTTAAAGCTTTAAATGAAAGTTGTTTAGTATATTGAATTCCATGACGATAGTAACTTGAATATTTTAGTTAGTTTATGATACGCATAATTTGCTATTCTGTTTGCGTTTAAAACTCACTTCGCAGTGCTCTGATCTGATAAGTGTATACATTTATTTACTCAATGATTATTTACAAGAATTGTTCATTCTACTATTTTATGATGAATTACATATATAGGACGAAGATTTTAGTTGCAAAACTGTTGGACTTTGTTTTACTCATCTAGTATTTTATCATCTCATTTTACTATTCTTTTTACATAAAATGACGGCGTTTCACTACTTTTTTCAGTAGAAATTAAAAACTTAAAAATTACTGTTATGTTTACGTTTAAAAGTCACATTTTAGTGCTTTCATTGCCGCCTAAAAACTTTGCGAAATTTTGAAGGCCAAAATAGTTTGGCGCCAACTTACCCCGCTTGTGGAATTTTAGCCGATTAAATCTACTTTGTCGATACCGCATAAACCACAATAGAATAAATGCTCTCTTTAAAATTCACTATATTTGTTTACTATAGCGACACTCTGGCGCTAGGTTCATTTAAATACGTTATATTTCGTTCATATTATAACTCAGAATGCATAAAATTTATATCATTTGAAGAATTATCTAATCGTTGCCACATGTTCTATTCAAATTCTATAATAAATCTAGAACGATGTATAAAAGAAATTAAGGAAACAAAACAAAAAGAGAAACAGTTTTTCACAGATGATTCAGTATTTCTCATTAAATTAATTTTTTTGCCATAATCACACATACACACACACACACAGACATTCAATTAATTCAGTGCTCACTTCGCGACAAGGCAAAAATACATAAAAACTCAAAATATCTATATTAAAAATTACGAAGTAAATCTTAAAAACTTATTTCCTCGAAAAAGTTCCGGAAAGGATAATCAGATTTAATTCGCAAATAATGAAACGTTATTTTTGTTGCGAAGCTTAGTCTCTCTAGATTGCAACAAATCTACCGTCTGCGTTTCAATGAAAACAAATATATCCGCCATGTTATTTAAAACTTAACCGCACTTAAACAGCTTTAAAATTGTTGATAATTCTAAAAATATTGCTTCCAGATTTACGAAAGGTATAAAAACATTAACTGGAATATAAGAACAACATAATTCAATCATTTTCTAACAGAATTCAAACATTTCGACAGCGCATAAACCACAATAGAATAAATGCACTCTTTAAAATAATTCACTATATTTGTTTAGCATAGCGACATTCTGGCGCTAGGTTCATTTAAATGCGTTATATTTCGTTCATATTATAACTCAGAATGCACAAAATTTATATCATTTGAAGAATTATCTAATTGTTGCCACATGTTCTGTTCAAATACTATAATAAAGCTAGAATGATGTATAAAAGAAATTAAGCAAACAAACAAAAAAAAAAAAAAAAAAAAAGAGTTTTTCACAGACGATTCAGTATTTCTCATGGAATTCATTCAGTTCTCACTTCGCGACAAGGCAAAAAACATAAAACTCAAAATATCTGTATTAAAAATTACGATGTAAATCTTAAACAACTTTTTTCATCGAAAAATTCCAGAAAGAAGAATTAAGCAGATAATTCGCAATATTATGCGTTATTTGTGTGCGTAGTTTCTCCAATTGCAAATCTACACTGCCATTGAAGGTCAAAGGCAAACTTGATCGGCACTCCAAAAATCTTACCACTTGTTGTATTCCAATAGAATTCTAAAAGGTAAAAAGAAATCTCTTACCTTTTCTTTCACCCGGGAGCCGAGCTTGTTCCATTCTAATTCTTATTCGATGAAATATCTAAATAATTCCAAGCTTTTGCATAAAAACTAACACTTCTGTATAAATAAAGATATTATATTTAGATACAGTTATATACAATTATTAGATTACATGAAATTACGCGCTCTCCAGCTAACAGTCAATCGAGTTCGGGTTCAGAGTTCTAACTGCGTTCTTACGCAGGATTATTCTCGAGTTTAGATGTAATGGTGCTGATAGTTCGGAGTTTAGATGTGGAGGCGCTGATAGTTCGGAGTTTAGATGTAACATCACCTCCCACCATTGAGATCCGACGATGCGGAGGAACTCAATACACACAGGTCCAGTCGATAAGGAGGCCGAACAACTCGTCCAGCTCTGGTCATCACTCGAGGCAGGTTCTGGAATACTAGCAGCCTGATCAGCCTGACCAGTTGCATGGTCGTTTCTATCTCGAGGTGCTCTGTCGGGGAACGGAGGGCCAACGGATTCGGAAGTAGAGATCTCCAACGGGAAAAGCCGGGGCACTGGACGAAGCAGAATTCCATTTCTTGTCTTGACCCTCGCTAGTCTAACTATTCCGTCTTTACTGGGGAAAAGCTCGACTATCTTGGCTAAAGGCCAATGTATGCGTCGTCTCTGGCTGTCTTCCAATAGAACGACATCGCCTACTTGCAACTGTTGAAATTTTCCCTTCTTTATTGCCTGTTGTCTCAACTGACCAAGATATTCATTACGAAATCTGTTTCGTAGATCATGTCTTATTCTCTGTCGGTATTTGGCTCGACGGTTTAGTTCTTTGGAATCTACGTAGTCCATATCAGGAACTCCTGATGACGGCAATTCTTGCAGGAAACATCATAGGGGTCAGTGGTGATGGATCTTGATTATCCTCTGATACGTATGTGATAGGTCGCGAATTAATCACTTGTTCACAGTCACATAATATAGTATATAATTCTTCATAATTTAAGGACGTTCGACCTAACACTCTTCTTAAATTTTCTTTCACCATTCGCACAAGCCTCTCCCACCAACCTCCCCACCAGGCGGCGGTCGGAGGGTTGAACTTCCATCGTATCCTTTGGATAGAAGCAGCTGAACATATGGCGTTCCAATTAACTTTCTTAAGAACACTGTTAGTCCCTACAAAATTAGTTCCGTTGTCGGAATATATCACATAAGGTCTACCTCTTCTGGCAATGAATCTACGTAAAGATTGGATGAAAGTTTCTGTAGATAGAGAAGTAACTAGTTCGAGGTGAATGGCTCTATAAATGGCACATGTATACAAGACTATCCACGCTTTAGACCCCTCACGGAGATAGAGAGGACCCGCTAGATCTACACCGACGACTTCAAAAGTCGCCCCTTCTCTGACTCGATCTTCGGGTGGAAATCCTGGCTCGACTTCCACTCTTTGTGAAACAAATCTTTTACATCTTACACATTTTCTGATAATATTTCGAATACTTTTTCTGGATTTTAATATCCAAAAGTTTTCTCTAAGATTTGTCATCATTAAAGTGCTGACACCAGCATGCTGGAGTTCTAGATGTTTCTCGTAAATTAGTCTCTCAACAAGAATATGTTTTGAAGGTAAAATGATAGGATATCGGAAATTTTCATTATCTTGACGCTGTAGGACGTTCGTTTTGGCTCTTAAAATTCCATTTTGGTCTACGATTGGTCTCAGCGCACGAATAGCGGGATCGTTTATGCCTGTAAATGATTCTTTCTGTACCAATCTACAAAGTGCCTTTTCAGCATTCTCCAATTCATCAACTGAGACATCAGGAGTGAGGTTTTTATCTTTGTTCTTTAAATTGTGATAAAACCTGAAAATCCAAGCGATCATTCTCACGGTTTTTCTATATGAAGAGAAGTATTTGTAGTACCGGTCCAAATTGTCTCCATGATCTAGAAGAGTCAGAATCGTTTTCCTTTTTTCCTTGTTTATAAGTTCTTCATCAGGCTTTTCTTCTACATGGGGCCACTCGTCTTCTGGTAAGTAAAGCCACGATGGGCCCTCCCACCATGCCGATTTCTGTAATTGCTCAATAGTACATCCTCTCGATGGGAGATCCGCTGGGTTTAAACTTCCAGGTACATGCCTCCAGTCAGATATTCTGGTAAGCGATCTTATTTCTTGTACTCGATTGTGAACAAACGTACCCCATGCTTGATCCCTTCTTATCCACCCCAAAGCTGTAGAAGAATCACTCCAGAACACTGTTCTACAATTCTTAAGTTTCAAATCTGATAGAATTGTTTTGGCAAGCCTGGCACCTATCAGACAGGAAAGAAGTTCAAGCCGTGGAATCGTAAGTTCCTTAATAGGGGCTATTCGACTTCTCGCGCTTACTAACTGAACCTTTACACCTTCGATGGTTTCAGCTCTTAAAAATGCACATGTGGCATAGGCTCTTTTACTAGCATCCGAAAAAAACGTGGAGCACTACGGTATCTTCGTTTTCGTAATCAATATTTTAACCAACGAGGAATTTCAATCTGAGATAGCAGAGGCAATTGGTTCAACCAAGTCCCAAACTGCTCACTTAGGGGAAGAGGAAGATCTTCATCCCACTTAATCTTCTGGTTCCATGTTTCTTGCAAAATTAGCTTAGGAATTACAGTTATCGGTGCAGTAAAGCCAATGGGATCAAAAATTTTCTGGGTAATTGACAAAACTTTTCTTTTGGTAATAGGTTCCCTCAAGTTAAATGTTTCTTCGATCTTGCAACTCAAACTATCTTTTTCTAAATCCCATACTAATCCTAATACTGGGACAACTTTCGTCTTGCTCTCTATCTCATCGATCATGTCAATGCGAAAATTTGATCGCCAACATCTCAAATTGAAATGCCCTGAAGCCAAAATCAATCTTGCTTCTTGAACGAAATTTTCGGCTTCATCTACGTGATTTAAGCTAATTAACGAATTATCGAGGTAAAATGAATCCTTCAAAATATTAGAAGTTTCTACAAACTTTTCTGGGACTGTAGTCAAAAGGTGACTAAGTGTAGCGGCTAGCAGAAACGGACTTGATGTGAGTCCAAAAACAACTCGGTTATGTCTGTAAATTTTAAACTTATGTTGATTATCGAACCATAGAAACCTTAAAAAATCTCTATCCTTTTCTGCTATTTTGATTTGACAAAAGGCCTTTTCGATATCAGATGACACTCCTATGCGATATTTTCGAAAACGATTCAATATACGTGGAATAATTTCTATTAAATTTGGTCCTTTACTCAAACAATCATTGAGAGAGGGTGAATTCTTAGAACGTGCAGATGCATTGAAAACAGGCCGTATCTTTGTAGTTTCACTAGACTCTTTTATTACAGGTCTGTGTGACAAGTAGTGCACTCCTTCCTCCTTTTCCTCAGTTACTACCTCAATAATGTCCTTCGCTTCCCACTCATCAAATATTTCTTCGTAATCTTTTCTTCTGCGTGTGTTTAATTAGTTTACTTTCGGTTTTGACGAGGTGTCTTTCTGCCACAGTACGGTTACTGGATAAGACGGATTTATCTAAAATAAAGGGTAAGGTTACTTCATATCTCCCTGAGCTATCTCGTTTTACACTTTTTAAGAAATGTTTTCGGGTTTCTTCTTCCAAGACACTTTTCGTTTTGTTTTCCTCACTTGAAATCCCCAAGGTGTCTAAACGCCAAAGATTGGACAAATTTGTATCGGAAACATGTAAGGATAAAGAAAGAACGGACAGGGAACTCGACGTATTCGCATTCTCTTTAATCTTGCCCATTAAAGTCCAGCCTAACTTGGTCTCAAAGGCTACGTAATCCCCCGCAAAATGTTCAATTCTTTCAGTGAACAATTGTGCTGCGGTGTCCGCTCCTAACAGCATATGAATCTCTTCCGGATTTTCTTGAAACAGACAGAGATTTCCATTCGCATGATTGTCGTTGATAAGGATTCCCCTTTTTTCCATTACTTTAATTAACTTTTCGTCTTTGATCTTAGGTAGTGACGAACAAATTTTCCTCTGGTCTAGTGCTTCGATTTTACACCTGTACTTTCCATCCAAACTAGTTAAATCTATTTGATAACGATTATGATCTTCCGAAACTTCTACACCCCCAAATAACCCATGTTTAATTCTTTCAGTTCCTATCTTTTCTAATTTCAACGTTTTAGCAGCATATTGACTTATGTACGTGTTCTGACTTCCGGTGTCTATTAGCAATCTTAAATAACCCTTTAAGGTTTTCCCAGCTACCCCTACGACCAAAGTTTGTAAATAAACTTCAGAACGGTTGCTTTGATTCGAAAGTACTTTATTTTCAACTTCCTGGACAGTTTTGATCGTTCCCTTTTTACTCTCGGAATTAATTCTGTTGCACATAATCGTAGAATGCTTAGAGTGACAATGGGAGCAAAAAATGTTAGAATCACAAAATTTGCTGATGTGACCCTTATTTTGTAAACACCTAAAACAAGTGCCATTTTTGCGTAGTATTTCAACCTTTTCGTCATTCGTTAGTTTCTGGGCAATAGGACATTTATGGCTTGAATGGGAAAAATCTCCGCAAAAAACACATGCCTTAATCAATTTTTCTTTAATACCCGTGGACACTAAATCAGAAGCAGAAGAAGCTTTCGTTTCTAATTTATTGCTCTTTCCATCGCTGAAATGACGAGTGTTTATTTTCTGGACTGCATACGCAGACTGACGGCGCCCACTATTCGCTGTCGAATGCTCTGAATTCTTATTTATGACTTCCGCCCTTTCGCGTGAATCTAAACATTGAGCTATAATCAAGCACAGGCTTTTAATATTACAATATGCACTTCCATTACTCATTCTGTTAATCTCAAGCAAAATATCTTGGGGAAGTGATTTCAGAATTATTGGACATAACACACTTGATAAATTCTCGAGAGACTGACCCAAATTTTCTAAACATCTTAATTCGATAGAAATATTATCATAAAATTTTCTAAAGGCGCGAACATCATTCGAGATTTTCAACGGTTTAGTGTTCAAAATGTTATTTATGTGAGTGTAAATGAGCACATCTGTTTTCGCAAATCTTTCTTTTAGAAGATCAATTGCGGAATCGTAATTAGCAGCAGTAATCGGTAATCCTTCGACTGTATTTAAAGCAGAACCACCTAAATGAGCTTTCAAATAATTAAATTTGTCTATTTTATCTAATGAATCATTTTTATGAATGGCAGACTCGAAACTGTTCCAAAAGGTTAGCCAGTTGTTTATATCTCCGTAGAATTTCGTTAAAGTTAACTTAGGTAATTTAATTCGAACAGACTCGTTATGTTTTGGTTCGCTTTGACTATCAGTACTGAACTGGTTATTTACTACCGTTTCAGTAGATTTGCGTTTTAATTCGTCGATTCTTTTGGAGGTACGGAAACTGCATTTAACGACCTTTTGACGATATTCTTCAGATTTTTGGAATTCAGCATCAAATTCTTCGACTTTAAAAAGAGGTTCTAATTCTGTATCGACACTTTTAAGCGATTCGAAATTATTCTTTAATATTTCTAAATTTTCTTCCAAATCATGAATTTTCGGATCAATTTCCGAAAGCTGCGATTCCAAATCTTTAAGCGATTTCGTTACTGATGTTCGGAGAGCTGCGCGCTTCTTTTTTAATTTATTTAAAATCTCTTCAGACATGTTCTTAACAGTTCAAAAATTCAAAATGTAATCAATAATTGTATTCTTAATCTTTATTGTCTAATTTAAATTCTTATTCTTAGCTCGGGCGTCCCGGCAGGGATGCCAAAATATTGTTGTATCTCTCAAATGAATTCTAAAAGGTAAAAAGAAATCTCTTACCTTTTCTTTCACCCGGGAGCCGAGCTTGTTCCATTCTAATTCTTATTCGATGAAATATCTAAATAATTCCAAGCTTTTGCATAAAAACTGACACTTCTGTATAAATAAAGATATTATATTTAGATACAGTTATATATACAATTATTAGATTACATGAAATTACGCGCTCTCCAGCTAACAGTCATCGGATTCAGAGTTCTAACTACGTTCTTCGTAGGATTATTCTCGAGTTTAGATGTAATGGTGCTGATAGTTCGGAGTTAGATGTAAGGAGCTCATACGGGTAGATGGAATTTTATGCTGGCCCGATGAACAAAAACCACATAATGTTTAAAATAAAATAACGTTCGGGTCCTTTTTATTAGCGAGTAAAGACGTAGTACAACACCACGAACTCTTTAGATTCATTTTAAAGCAGTTTTATAATTTTTTTGGGGCAGAGAGAGTCCTTTATTCGGTCCTTACGTACAGATGTCCAGCAAAAACATAGTTAAATTGCATTCGATAGGAACGTTTTTCAATTGAAAATAATTCTTAATATTTCAACTGGAAATTAAGAATATTGTATTTAGTTAGATATTTTTAGCGTAATTATAATTACAATTGTTTTATTTTCCGTGCAATGCAGCACGAGACATATTTTAAGAGAAAGCTACGCTGGAAAATTAAAAATCGTGGAGCACGTGCATTTAACATGTGATAAATAGATATCTCATAACTTATATTTAAATTGAATAAATGTAATTGACTACTGCGCTAGCTGTAACTGTAATTCTACTCTTTTGCTTTCCAGGAAA